CATTAAAGGAATCGAAGCTTTATATATGTAAATAATATAATGTATTTCTAGTATAACCTAATAAAAGCATGCCAATTTGTGTTAAAAAAAAAAATAAAAAATAAAAATTTAAATTCAATTCAGTTTTGAATTTCTACTCGAATTAACATGTTTTTTTTGATTATACTTAGGGTTTTATATTTTGTATATATAAACTTTAAAAAGTAAATTTGCTCCAAAAAGTGAAAATGAAGAATTATTTAAATCTTGGATTAATCTTATTTATGGTCCAGAAGATCAAGATTCTAATGATTCAAGTATTAGTAGTGATAATGAAGCTGATATACCATCAGCAGGAAATCAACGACAATGGCAATATGCATATAGTGTTGGTAATAAAAAATATAAAAATAAAAAAAGAAAAATTCTTACAGAGCTGGAGGATTCTAATACTGTAGAGTATTTATCAAATGTAAACTGTTCTGGGCTTTTAGAGAAAGCATGACTTGCAATTTTTTTATCACTTGATGAGTTATAGGATAAATCTAATAAAATGGATTTAAAAGCTTCTATCTTAGATCTACATGTACTAAAATTGCTTTCATTTGCCATAGTTCAAGAGTGAAAAGATACAGAAGCCCAAATTTGTACAGAATTATCACTATTAGAATCTCAATTAACTAATTCAAATAATAATGAAGAGATAGAAAAAAATTTAGTAAATATAAATGAAGACCCTCAAGATTCTTTAAGTACAGAATTATGGGAGTCATTTTCAATATCTAATCAAGCCACCACTGAAGATGAATTCACACGATACATGAAAGAGCAGATAGCTCATAAAAATCAGAATCCTTTAACATGATGGGAAAATAGACATGTAAGCTTTTCACTACTTAGTCAACTTGCACACAAATATTTATCTATCCCTGCCACTTCAGTTCCATCAGAACAGTTATTTTCTGATGCAAATAATCATATATCAGCCAGAAGAACTCGCCTTGACCCCAATTTAGTAGATAGAATGTTATTTTTAAAAAGAACTTCACATTTGCATTCATTGTTTTCACCTAATCCTTAATTTTTTATTGACTTAAACCAATTTTAACATAAATTTAATATTAATATTATATAAAAATTAAATGTTTCATCTGCTTGCAATAACTATCTATTATTCATAAAAATATAATTTCCAAAAAATTTTTTTTCATATAGCTTTAGCATAGGATCATCTCTTTAATAACATTACTAATCTTTCACTATTCTAATATGATCTGTAATGTTTTAATTTGAATATTAAATCTGTTAAAATTAGTGATTTACGCATTAATAGCTTTCATACAATAATTCAAAAGAATGCTTACCACCATGCTTATTGCATTGTTATAAAAAGGCAGTTCAATTACTGGTACTATATTGGGCCTATAACTGTTAAAAATATGTTACTCATACTCTATAATATGTACTTAGTTTCAAAGTAATACCTGTGACCATTGTTGATTTAGAACCTAATTTCAAAATGATTTGGAAGTATACTGAGGCTAAATAAAACTCAAGAGGAGGTAAGGTGTTCATACTTAGTAAGTAAAGTATTTGATATAAAAAAAAAACCCCCCCAGATGAGACTCCAAGCATCAATGATAACTCAAATGCAAGTTAATTAGGAACTTAATCATAAAGTTTAGGGATAGGTGTTCCAAAATTACTGTTTTGTGCTTAACATTCACTTATTTTTCTTCTCATTCTCAAGAATAAAACTGACAAGGCACAATCTGTTAACCAATCACATAACTTGTTAACTAGTTAAATCTGAATTTAATAATAAATCCAGATTTAAAGATTAAATCTGAATTTAATTATTAATCCAGATTTAATTATTAAATCCAGATTTAATAATTAAGTCAGAATGCAGGTATTAACTCTATTTCAGATCCTTTTACATCCAAGATCTCTATTATTATTTTTTTTCAAAAATGCAAATTGGCTTACTTTATTAATATAATACAATTATTTAACTATTTACAGTCTAATATGTGTTTAATATTTATATGTTTCATAATTTTTCGTATTCCTTTTCCTTTTTGTAATTTGTTTAGGACTTGCAAGTTTCTTTTAATTTTCCCTTCAGTAACTTTACCAACTATTGATTCAGGAATAATATTTTCTCCCCATCTGGCTTGGGTATACCATAGCCATATTTCATATATAGCTGAAATATGTATCCATCATGCTGTCTTAAGTTTAGAGGCATCATGAATATTACTGGCCATAAAGATTTCCTCTAGTGTTTTTGAACACTTCACTTCTTAAGGATTATCAAATACTTTATAGTATTCTTCCTAGATTGTTTTGCTAATATTACAATCAATTGCAAAGTGTTGGTTTTTTGTTTCTTCTCAGAACAGTTTAGGCAGTTTCTGTCTATATCTTTGTCTATGTGCATTTTGTAGTCTCCAGAAGATGTCCTTTTTTTGATTTAATACTCCCTTTGTGTCTAACTATTCAAAAGGCTTTCATCAGTTTTCTTGTGATGTTATAGAGACTTGAGAGGTTGTTGGTATTATTGAATGTAATCTCAGATATTCTATTGCTTTTTTTACTAAGTACTGATCTCCTGACTGGTTACCTATTTTTAAACTGGAGGTATTCCATGGCCAATTATTTGTAGAGTTGGTTGTTCCTTCAA